TCCGCAAAGGCCGAACCCCTCGGGGAGACGCCATCCTGGCCGACTGGCAGCATAAGCATGCCCATCTAAACCCAGCCGCCCCTGGAACGCAAATCAACACTCCGGAAGACTATTTCCTAGCGACGGGGCTGTTCGGCATCTTTGCATTTTCATCAGGTGATCTTTATCCGCTTGCCCAAGAGTATCGTCAGGAGCAAAATTCGTTTTGGGGCGGCTACGGAGCTGGCTGCTCGTCAGGATGTGGCGACGGAGGAAGCGGCTGTGGAAGTAGTTGCGGCAGTGGCTGCGGAAGCGGTTGTGGGGGATGTGGATCCTAGCTCTTACACCATCAAAAAGGAGAACGATTATGATGCAAACGGAAATCACCTACGTCTGCAATGCTTGCGGTGAAGACATCGTGATCCCGCTCGATCCATCGCAGGGAAGTGCCCAGCAGTTTGTCGAAGACTGCCCGGTTTGCTGCCGACCACATGTGATTCATGTCCAGATCGACCCTGACGGCGAAGCAACCGCCTGGGCCGAGCCGGAACAAGATTACGACTAGTCGACCAGCGCCGACCGATCAATAGGGACGTGCGGCTGGGCCTAGATGTCCATCTCGACTGGCTGAGGCTTCCAGATATCGAACAGAACGCTCAGCAAGACTGGGACAAGGAACATCGTGAATACGGTCGAGACGACCAGGCCACCGACAACTACTGCCCCAAGACCTCGATAAAGTTCGCTTCCAGAGCCAGGCATCAGCACCAGCGGCAGCATACCACCGACCGAAGTCAGCGTGCTCATCAAGATCGGTCGAACGCGACTTTCGACACTCTTCGAGATCGCCTCGCGTGGCGTCAAATCGCTGACGTCCTCACCTTCTTCACTTCGCCCGCCGAGGAAGTTGATCGTCTGGTAAACGATCAGGATCGCGTTGTTCACCACCACGCCAGCGAGAATCACAAAGCCGAGAATCGTCAGCACGTCCATGTTTTGGATCGGCATGTAACGGTCGATTTCGCTCCAATGATGCACCAAAGCCAAGCCGGCAAAGCCGCCCAAAAGCGCCAGCGGCACGCTCACCATAATCACCAACGGATAAGTCCAGCTTTGGAACAGCACCACCATTAGCAGATAGACAATCACCAAGGCGAGAAACAGCGAGCTGAAGATCGTCCCCATAATGGTTCCATCTCCCATCAATGCTTCGCGAATCTGCGACAACTGCCCTGCGGAACCTGCCAATTGCATTTCCACGTCCGGCGTAATGGCCCCGGCTTCGCGTAGTTCGACCACCGTTTTTTCAACCGCATCAATTGCCTCTTGCAGGGGAAGCCCCGGCGGAGGAGTGAACTGCAAAGTCACCGCTCGTTGACGATCGACATGTTTAATCTGATCAGCCGCT